CCCAGATCCAGGTTGAGCTGTTGTTCAGCATCTTAGCTGTGGAGGGCAGTGTCACTGGCCCTCATATGTGGGATCCAAACCGGGGCCCTGTGGCATCCTGAGCCAGTTCTTAACCATCACACCTCTCAGCCGTCCCTGTTTGTTTTTTGTTTTGTTTTGTTTTGTTTTAAATCTGACCAACTGACCAAATTCAGGAATTTCTACTACATCCTCAGGTTTGATAATTCATTAGAATGGTTAAAAACTTAGGAATGATGGGCCAGCCGAGTGGTTAAGAGCTGGCTTGGGACGCCAGCTCTGAGCAGTAGGGCCCCGGTTCGGATCCCACATGAGGGCCAGTGACACTGCCCTCTACAGCTAAGATGGTGAGCAGCAGCTTGACCTGGAGCTGGGCTGCCATGAGTCGCCGGCGAAGGCATAGGCTGCAGCCCCTGCTGCAGTGGGCTGCCATAGAGCTACCCTGTGTGGCCGGCAGCCAGCATGAGCGGCCGGCTGCTGGTGTGAGCTGCCAAGAGCCGCTGTGAGCAGCAGTCCAGAGGCCAGCGACCGATCTGCCTCATCCAGGAAAAGCGCAATGATAATACCAACATGGGCCACTGAAGCCAGGTCCTCAACAACTAGACTGAAGAACAAAAGGGCAGCAACTTGTCTGTTCCCCTTCCCCCGATTCCCCAGCACTGTTCCCCTCTCCCAATTCCCCAATAAAATCTTTAAAAACAAACAAACACAAAAAACTTAGGAATGATGACAGTTTTATTATAGCTAAAGGACACAGATCAGAACCAGCCCCTTCTACAATGCATAGAGTGAGGTCTGGGAGGGTCCCTAATGCAACCTTTCTGTTATCCCCTCCCCATGGAATCAAGACATGTCACAGTCCTAGCACGCTAAAGTGTGATAGTATGCAGAGTACCATCAAGCAGGGTAGCTCTCGAGAGTTCCCATGTCCAGAGTTTTTATTAGGATTTCATTATGTACAGTAGATATGATTGATTGAATTATTGGCCATGAGGTTGCACTTAATTTCCAGCCCCCTTTCCTCTCAGAGGTCAGGCTGATAACAAATGGCTCAAAGCCCCAAGCTGGCCAGGTCCCAACTGGAGCTATCTCCTCAGTTTAAACTATGGAGGGGCCCATCATGAATAACAAAGACATTCTTTATCAGTAAGGAAATTCCAGAGATTTGGAGGCTACCTCCCAGGAACTGGGGACAAAGGCCAACCAAATCCTTTATTACACAGCAGAGCTTTTAAAAGATGATTAGTTTAGCAGTCAGCTTGGATGGTAGGAGGGTAAACTGGTGCATCTTTTTAAAAATGTTATACTCTTTTATATCATGTCAGATATACAGTCATGAGTGTTTTAAAAAACGTATCTTATAACAATGGCAAAGCATTTAAAATGTCAAGTGAACAAGGCAATATATAAAATTGTATATACAATTAGATTTTAAGAATTGTCGAAAAAACACCCAGCCTAAGAGAAAGCTTATAAGAGTTTATTTTTTGCCAAAATGACGACAGTTGCTGGAAAGCAAAATCTCAGTGGATTGAGAAAATGCTCTGCATAATGGTGGTTTGCAGCTTATTTTATACATGAAATCAAAGGAGGAGGGTTACATGAAATCCATTGGTGATAGGTTAAGGGGGTGGGAGAAAGCGGGGGAAATCTCTGGGATTGGATAAAAGTAAATTGGAGAGACAGGTACTTCTTTCACGTAGGTGATACAGGATAATTAATAGTTCACTTTTTACAGCACATAGAGATGGTAATAGGGGACGAAAATAATAATGAGGGATTCTGTAGTTTCCTGCTCTGGTCCAGAAAAAGGGATTACTGACATTCCAAGGGCATGTTATCCTAGATGCAAAAAGACAATAGATAGGCTCACTTAAGGTAAAGATTGACCTTTGTCAAGGAAGCCATAGGCTAACGATGTGACTTCCTACCATGGCCCACCTTAGCAATTTTTATTTTCACTCCATCCTATGTGGTTATTTTCAGTCCTCCTGAGCTTGTCACGTTTAACCTGTGGCCCCTCTTCCGTCCACAGAATAGATTATATATTTATTATGTGCATATGTGTTTTATTTATTTAGCAAATATTTATTGAGCACCACCTAAAGTGCACCAGAAGCTGTGGTAGGCATTATGGATACAACTATGAAAAAAATAAACATGGTCTCTTGCCTCAGAAAGCATAAGTTTCATGGGAGAAATGGCTAAACAAACAATTCACATACATTCAGAGCATTCAGAATGGAAAGTGCCATGATGAGAAAAATAAGAGCACCTCAACATACTATCTCAGATTGGGGATATTAGGGAAGGCGTCTCAGAGAAAGCTGCATCTAGACTGAGCATGGAACAATGAGATGAGGTAAGGAAGGGGCAAAAATTGTTCCAAACCTAGGAGGCAAGAGAAAGCAAGACCTGCATGGCGTGTTGGAGGTAATGAAAGAAAAGTGCCATGAGCAAACATTGTGAGGTAGAAAGTGCTTAGAGGTGAAACAAGAAACATATAAAGGTCATTAGACTATTGAGCAGTTTTGTTAAACTGTGGAGTTTTGAAATCAATGAATAGATTTTTTGTTTAAAGGATTTTATTGGGGGAATTGGGGGAGGGGAACAGCATTGGGGAATCGCGAGGGGAACAGACAAGTTGCTGTCCTTTTGTTCTTCAGTCTAGTTGTGGAGGACGTTGCTTCACTGGCCCATGTTGGTATTG